CCAGTAAAGTAATTATAGTTTATTATTGTAAATTAGTAATATAACATATTATTAAAGTGAAAATAATAAATTTGACTATTAAATTTTTTAATTTGATTTTTTATACACAAAATTAATAATTTTTATATTATAACTTAGTTGCAGACTATTACTCTTGATAATATATTTTTAAACAATGTTACAATTTATGAACTAGTCAATTCTATCTCACAAGAATTATTCATAGATATTAATGAAGAGCATTTCCATAATCATTGCCTTGTCCATATTCTAAATCTTATTATAAAAGATAGATTAAAAAAATTTCAGACAGTATTAAGAAAGTAATTAAATTATAAGAGACTTTTACTGTAGCAATAAAAAAAAAAGCTTTAACTTTCAGAATTCTGTGTACTTCATATTTTAAATTATAATAAAATTATTTTTAATTTTTATTAAACTGATCTTATTGTATAATTGCTTAGTATAATATTTAATATTTAATAATACATTATAATAATTACTTTAGGTTCATGACTGTATTAAAGCAATATACACAGTACTAAAGTGATACCAAATATTTTCAGATATTTGTGAATCTGAATTAGTAAAACCTATAATTCTACTATTAGATTACAAGACATATTAGAATTCTACATACTTGATATTAAATTTAGCAATTAGAGTTAAAAATGTGATCCTTAGATTAAAAGACAGAGATCGAACATTTCCTGATATACCTGAAGAAGAAGAATAAACAAATGCAGAAGTTATTTGTAGTATTTCAAAACCTTTCTATAATTGTATATTTTTTTTTAATAACCTACTAGTATATTTTATTATTTTATAAAAAAATTGTATTTTTTTTTAATAACTAATTTATATTTTTAATAAAAAGTTACTTTAAAAGTATCTGCAAATTCTTATCCAACTTTAAACAATACTCTTATCCTAGTTTGGAATATCTGCACCTACTTTCTGAGCATAAAATCTCATTTAAATTATTTTATCTGAGATATTTGCAAACCTATGATTAAAAAATTTAATAAATATTAAAAAAAGAATAGTCTTTTACATATAATCGTATGTATTCTTGATTCTTGTTATAAAATGAAATTCATTTCATATTATTATCATGAGAAAAAAAATTCAAATCATATGAATTGAAGGAAAACTACAAAATATTTAGGCAAAGTATATATATTAATTAGTGATTTAATTAATGTTTTCAGTTTTAATATTTTTAGGCAAATAGATTTGAAGATATATATCTTTGCATGTATTATTTTTCATCAAATACTGAACAATATCTCTTGAATAATAAGACTATTTCTAATACTGAGAATAATATATTAGTATTTGAGAATCATATTGATAAATTTTTTGAATATGCTACAAAACAAAACCAGGTTAGTAAAAATGAACTACTTTTTGAAATAAACCAATATTTAGAAGAACCAATTGCTGCAAAAACTACTAATATTTTTAAATAGTAGAAGTATAATAGTAGTTGGCTTTCTTCTTTGTTAGTAATAGCTCGAGACTTTCTTGCTATACTTGCTACAAGTGTTATATCTAAACAGATATTTAGCTATGCAGATCGAATTGTTAATAATAGTTATACTTTATTAGATCCAAGTATAATAACTACATTAATATGCTAAAGAAACTAGTTTGATGTGACTGAAAAGTTTAGTTAGGATTTATAATTTGTTAAAATTATTAATAAATTTTTTTTTGTTTTTTTTTGCTTTCTGTTTTTTTTTTTTTTAATTGAATAGTTATTGAAAAACATTGTTTTTGACCTATCTGACTTATTTTTATTGACCTACTTTAAGGATTATATTACTTTTAACTAGAGATGTACCTTGTGTAAAGTCAAACTAGCATATATATACAACTTCACACAAAGTTATATTGTACAATTTTATGTAAGTTATTTAATAAGTTATTTAATTAATTAAAAAAACCATTAAATTAATAGCTAATTAAAATTATCTTAATCAGATAAATTACTTTACGCAAGGTTTATGAAGTTGCAGATATTAGAATTTTGTTATCTTGTATGAGATACATATCTACTTTTGATCTATATAATGTATCACAATCATTAGCACCAAATTACTGTTTTTAAAAGGTAAAAAATATATTTTGAGTTAAGAATATACAATATTATAATTGCAATATTATATATTATATATTTATTTGATCTCACAACTACTACAATATTTAGGAATAATATTTTGTAGTAATTTTTCAGTAAAAAATTTAATATAAATAAGTTCTCAAGTAGATTTTTTAAACTAAGAATGGATTACTTCTTATATTAATTAAAATTTTGATATAGTGAAGTTATGCTCAAAGCTAGTATATATGTTGTAGTGAATTCAGAATATTAGTGAACTCAGAATCAATTTAAGTTGATTTCGAATTATAGTTGTTAGATGAAACTATGTAATGCTAATCATCACATAGCCACAAACAGTAACATGTTAATAGAAACTAATATTATTAATATGTGACTATATAATGATTAGCAACATATAGTTTCATCTAACAACTATATTCTGAATAAACTTAAAGTTCTAAAATAACAGGTTTGAAATTGAGTATTTTAGGAATAACAAAACATTTTTAGTTTCAGAAAGTATTATTCAATTCACTAGCCAAAAATCAGCAGATATGAATAATTCTTATGAAATATTAATGCTTGGTTAATACTTTGCAAATGGAGAAATTTTAAAGTAAAGAGATAGTAATTAATCATTAAAGTTTAGGATTTTATTTTAAACATGATAGGCCAGTTCTTCTTCCATAATGCTTCCTCTTTAGCTTTACTTTTTAGTCTGATTGGTTATATAATCTATACCAAATTTAATTTATAATTGACAAACTTAAACACATTATAAGAACTGACAAAACTCAAACATTAAACCTGAATCTTTTACTTATATCTATTCAAATTAAACAGTTAGGTATAAAAGTTTATTTAAACCTAATATAATAAAGTAGGTTACTTTAAATTTACACTATAATTGCAGTATACATAATTAAAGCTATAAATTATATTTGATTATTACTACCGCTACATTTTTAAAAACTATTTCATAATATGCAATATGAAATATTTGGGCCCGTGGATAGTTTATAGAGTATTCACAGCTCATGGGCCAGGCAAGAGTATTACACTTCAGACCCTAGGATAATAGTAGAGCTCAAAATGTATACCCTTATATAAGCGGGTAGGGCTAGGGTATTGCTAGTACCCGGTCCTACCCGGCTCATGCGGAAGCCTATCCATCACTGATTACATCTGTATTTTTAATGACATATCATATCATTTACCAACTAAATGTCTTTTAAATTATTAAGATTGGAATTAATAAAAAAATTTTTCTTTTGCTTTATTATCGTTATACACAATATTAAAAATTATTACCTATATAAATGAGTGTTTTAGAGTTTCAATCCATAATCCATTTATCCATTTATCCATTTATCCATCAGGTATCCATATCCAAATTTATTCAGATATCCATTTACTATTAATATCCAGATAATTATCCGGATATCTGTTGGATTATCCGGATATCAATAGTAAATGGATATCCGGATAAATTTGGATATAGATGAATGGATAACAGATTTATCCGGATTGAAACTCTAGAGTGTTTTATAAAATATTACAGATCTCTTGTAGAAAAGATGACTTCATTAATAATGGAACTTCAAGCGGATGGCAACTTTAAATACTATTAATCTTGATAGTAAAAAGTTATAAATTATATATAATAAGTAGCTTACATACCCGTGTGTATTTTTAACTCAAATTCTATATGTAGCAAAAAATTGATTCTGTTTATAAATAATATTGGAATTAAAAAAGATGTATACTTCTTTAACCGAATAGAATATAAAGTTTTTCTTTAAAGCTTTAAATCCTTTTTTATATCAAATTGAAAGTTTAGCTTCGATAATTAACAGATTTAATGCCTTTTATTTTCGGTTTTAAATATTTACGTAAGAGCACTATTATTTAATAATCGCCTTTTGTGAACTTATTCTAATATCCTGAATAGTTATTTAATCCTCTCTCACACGTTTTGTAATAAATTTATAATATAATTTACAAATAATGATGTTTTTAATTTACATCCTCAATTTTAGCGTGAAGATAACTAATTTTTCTTATGAATTTGAAACACCTCGTATTCATTTACAAAATAACAATGATATTCGTTAAGTAATCCAATACCAATTTTTTTTTCATACTTATTGTCATAACAAGTAATGCATCCATTAGTTTGACTATTACTACTCCTAAACATATAAAGTTACTTGATATTCATGAGGACTTGCAACCTTATGACTAATTAAAACAGCTTCGTCACGCAATTTTTC